TAATAATAATAATAATTCAATTCAATTCAATTCAATTCTTTATTATTTATGTGCTGAGCCAACAGCCGTAAGGCCAATTATAGACTCAGCACAGTGTATGATAGAAGTAGTTACATACTGGACAAACACAATATAAAGTCAAACAATGATTAAAGGTTAATGTTGGAGGAAAACAAATTAATACATAAATAACATACATAATAATAATAATTCAATTCAATTAATTCAGTTCAATTCAATTCTTAATTATTAATGTGCCAAGTCAACAGCCGCAAGGCCAATTTCAGACACAGCACAGTGCAGAAAAATGAATTACATTCTAGACAAACTTATTAAATTAANGTTTTCGTTTATTGAAGTACATACTTAACAACCTAGAGGCCAATTACAAAGTTAGCACGAGCACGTAAAAAGAAACAACAAACAACTTACAAACAAATGCAAGAGGGGCAGTCTATATAATAGCGATAAATATAATTTTATGAGAAATGAGAGTTATAATGATAACAAGTCTAACGACTGTCGAGAGAACTCAGTATTTGCTGGACAATCGCTGTTCTATTTGCGGCAGAAACAGGGTCTTTTAATTTTGGAACCACCTAGACACCTGATCTGGGTACCACAAAGCCTCCTAGCCACTGTATCCTGGGTTTAAAACGGTCAGAGCGCGTAACTACTATGGACAGTATCTGAGATTAATCAACGATGAATGGTAAATAATGAATTGTAGAGGATTTAGAAAGCTGCCATCGTGGCGTAATTCAGTTACTATCGCAACATTTTCCTGCAGGGAGTGAAGAAAACCACAGACTCCTCAGTAAGACTAGCCTCTGTCCTGATCAAGATTCGAAGCGAACACCTCCGGAATATACGTCTAGAACGCTACCGCTGCAACCAACCTGGTCGAAGCGTAAAGTTGACCTTTTACCTCCATCTAGTGACAAGGTTAAAGTAAAGTGGAGCTGTATTCCACTGACCTTACACGCGTTCATGTCGTGTTGCTTGCCCTCAGAAACAACTTCTCTTCCTACTGCTACCCTGATGATGATGATGATGATGACGATGATGATGATGATTCGAACACTGTGGTCAAGTGGGTAGCGCTACTGTTTCGTGTTCGGAAGCTCAGGATTCAAATTTTCTTCTCAATTTATTTTTCATCATCATTTAATTTGGTTCTTGTAGACTTAGTGACCGGAAGTGTCATTAAATAAACCAAAAATATATGTAAATAGTTAAGTACATAAAATAACGACGTGTTGCTAAAACGAAGGTTTGTTCCCCTCCCTCCTGACCAAACTGAACTCTCTCTTTCTTTCTCTCTCTCTCTCTCTATGGCTCTTCAGCCCTTTGGACCTTGCCCGCTTTTTCAATTTCTTAATCTAGACAGAGTCGGTAGGACTCCTTGGACGGGGGATCAGCCCGTCGCAAGGCCGCTACCTACACATAGAACAACGTAAACACAGAATAAACGCACACAGGCATCGATGTCTCGAGTGGGATTCAAACCCACGATCCCAGTGTTCGAGCAGGCGAAAGCGGTTGATGCCTTAGACCGCGCGGGCACTGTGATCTACTGAGCAAACTGTACACGAAGTCATTAATGTAGAGAGAAGGCCGCCCTGACGCAAACACTTCTGGTTACCAAGTAGCTAGGCTACACGGAAGGCTATGTCTGGATATGAATTATGCTGATAATCAGTATGGCAGACGAACGGAGACAGCGAGGTGTGGGTGTTCGCATTCCCGCTATGCGACCCCGATATAACTGGGCGCGGCTCTCCCGTTCTCCTGCCCACACAGATGCAGAGAAACTGCTACACTTTAAAAAGATACTCCTGTATTACAGACATCCATACAAATGGAATGGAACAAAATTGTTTTTGTGTCTGGCAACGAGAACTCCGTGAAATAACTGTATTAGCACTGGCGTCGCAACGTAAAATTAATCGTTTCAAATACATCAAACACTTCATCATGTTCGAAACTGTTATTACTGATGGAATTTACGGCTTTTAGAGTCGATTTAATTTTTAATCGTCAAAATTTATTTTGTCGATAATGGACAAATTCTAACTTGGGACAGCATTTCTTAAGCTGCAAATTGCAGAATGAGGAGCCGGGTTAACGTAGTCTGTATAGTGACTGGCTACGGGCTGGACAATGGTGGGTCGGAGTTTGGGCCCCGATAGGGTCAAGAATTTTTTCCCCTTTACATTATCCAGACCTGCTCTGGGGCCCACCCAGCCTCCTATCCAATGGGTACCGGGGGTTCTTTCCTCGGCGGTAAAGCTGAAGGGCGTGAAGCTGACCACTCACCTCCAATTAGTGCCGAGGTCACGAAAACGTGGGTCTATACATCCACTTCCCCATACGCCTTCATGGTGTAGTACTTAATTAGTGAAGCACAGGAACAAATTAACCTTATCTTTACCTCTGTCTTAAGTTAGAAAATGGCGTTTAAATGTGCATATGTATAACACAAGAAGCCGGTTGACATTTCAACGGGAAATTTTTGCGGTTTTCAAAATCATTACTGAACCTGGAACATAAATCTTACGAGAAAATTTATGTGCAGGTTCTACAGAAACATACTTCGTCAAAAATACCTAACCGCAGAAACCTCCATTTTTTTAAACACACCTTCGTTTATTCGACGGTAGATCTTCTAAACGTCTTAGAGTAACAGCAGGCACTGGAATTTCTGCTATGTGGAAGTACGCTATGAACTTTCGGCAAAGATGGACAATACAGTACCTACTCCTGCATACTTTCCACTGCAGTTCATTGTCGTCATCTTCTGCTCCTATTCGCAGCCACTACAAATCCTAACTGCTAATATGCACACATAATGACAAAATGTCAATCGTTAGTATTGTTTTGTTAAGGATTTACTATTACTTGAAGTAATATTTGTTAAGGTGCCCCCTAATTTTACAGAATAAATATGACCCCTGACTTATGACCCCCAGAATTTACGACAGTTATTTACACGGTGAGTTCTATCTTAATCGTGTAGCATGTTGAAAGCCAGCCGACGTTTCGGAGACTCATGTCTCCATCTTCAGGGTCAAAAAGTAAGTCAGTCAAGATGCCAGCGTGAAGCGAGTGGCAAGCAGAAACGTCGGCTGACTTTCGATAGACAACACAGAGTTATACTCCAGAAGATAGAATTCTTCTCAACCACTGCTGTGAGAATCTCAGATTCCTACATAATTATATGCATGACTAATTTACTCTGACCCCCCCCCCAAATTACGTCCGCAAACGACGGACTCGCATGACCCACCGTCTCAAAACTAATGCGTAATACAGAAGTCAGACCCGCAGGTGTGTTGCTGCGTGAACTGTGTGCATTTTCTTCTTATCGCTCTATATTTGAAGGGAAATTATAGTTAACATGTTGCTCCACTTGCTTAGCCAACTTCAGGAATTTTCTGCTACGAAATGGGTTTTCAGGCACGGAACTGCTCTTCATAATATTCCGCTTATGGGGGATAAGGCACTATATTAGGACCCACTATGCGTAGAACGTTTTAGATAATTTATTTACCTATTTTATTATTTTCGGTATATTATTATTGCATTTTGAAGAAAGAGGTCACTGGAATTCTTCAGTTGACATAATCCTTCCAGCAGCACTATGGCCATAGGTTCGAATCAGCCTCTAGCAAAAATGAGTACCAGGAATCTTCCTGGGGGTAAAGAGCGGCCGGCGCGTAAGACTGACAATATTACCACAATCTGTAAGCCGATTGTCTAGAAAATGTGGGAGCCTCGACGTCTCACATCCCTGTGGGCCTTCACGGCCTGTTTCAGGGGCAGCTTTACCTTACTTTTAGGACGGCACTTCAGGAACAAATGAGGTCTAAGTACTCAGTTTCAGGTTACATATTCTCCGGACCGGGATGCAGTACTAACCTCTTCATTCTGCTACCAGAGTGATTGGACTTGTTCTGCGAGAGTTCCTTCCGACCACAGCACCGTGCGTCTGGCACTGTATACAATGCTTCATTAATAACGTTCCAAACAGTTTTGTCAAACCACAGTATTTTGCAAAGCGATTCTTCTGCCTGCAGAAAGTGGCACGAAGCAGTAAGGAATTATTCTCTGAAGGCTTGGAGTGGAAACTAGCTCTAATCATGGGCCCAATAGAATCAATCTATCTACCTACCTATCTATCTATTTTATTATTATTATTATTGGAGGGGATGGGTTTCCCCATGCACCGCGACCAGTTGTTGATCTATTGTACGTGCCCCTTTGATATTCTACCAGTCGCCATACACTACCGGTACTGGTGCGCGCTATTAACCCCGTTCAGCCAACGAGGTCGATCTTCGGTACCTAATACTTCCCCCGTCTACCAGAGGCATTGGAAACTACTTGGGCGGGGAACTTTTTGCCTAATTTAGCTCAGAGGTCTCCTAGAGACATGAATTTTTCCGCCCTTAAAAATTCCACGACCTCCGCCGGGTTTGAACCCGAGTACCTTGAGTCATGAGGTGGGAACGTTACCCCTAGACTACGGAGGCCGCTATCTATCTATCTATCTATCTATCTATCTATCTATCTATCCCTGTTGCTCCCAATAGGGCACAGGGCATCCGTGAAACACTTCGTTTTACTTCAGAGTCTTAATCTTAGACAGTCAGTAGGACTCCTTGTACGAGGATCAACCCAACGCAAGGCCGCTACCTACACAGGACAACACAAACACAGAATAAACACAGACAAACAGCCATGCCTCGAGTGGGATTCGAACCCATGATCCCAGTTTTCGAGCGGGCGAATATATTTGATGCCTTAGGCCGCTCGGCCACTGTGGTCGGCGCCCAATGGAATATGATTCCTTATTTTATCCTATCACTTGTTGAAGAATGCATGAACAGAAATATTCTGGTAAGAAAAAATGCATGATGAACAGTGTGTGAAATGTAAGTCACTCCACCATGAGAAATCTTCAGAATTCCTAAGACACATTTTGATGTGTGTTTCAGACGGGCAGCGCCATGACGGCAGTGCGCAGCAACGATGACAGCGACAATAACTTCTCGGATGACGAGAGCACGCCGCTTTACGGTGGCAGGTAAGACACAAACACTTGCTATTCCTTCACGGGTCCGGGGCAGGGTATAGAACTTACAACCCGTCTCGTCACGTCACAGTCCCTGTGCTTAACTAATTAAGCACTACGCCATGAAGGCGTATGGGGGAGTGCATTCTTTGATCCACATTTTCTTGACCCGGTATTAGTTTTAGTTGAGTTGTCAGCTTCACGCCCCGACCGCTTCAACCCCGGTAACCATTGGATAGGAGGTTGGGTGGACCCCAGAGCCGGTCTGGATGAAGTGGAGAAGAGAAAATTCTTGACCCTACCAGGACTCGGAACTCCGACCCCCTGGTCGTTCAGCCCTTAACCAACCGCTATCCTGGCTCCCCCTAGTCCACCAATATTTGTAATCTTTATGGAGATACTTGATAGGAAGGGTGAGATGGGCAGGACACGTAGCCTGTATGCGGAAAATGGGTGTATTGAATTTGACGTAAACATGGAGAGATGAGACTGTTTGGGATACCTGTATACTTAGATGGGGGAAAATATTACAAAAATTGTTAGAGAAATATTGCACGTGAAGACGTGACCTCAATTCGACTGGATCACGATAAGGTCTAATGTTAAAAATGAACTGCAGTCGTCAATTTGAAGCTGCCCTCAATGGCATGAGGCATATCTGATCATAATAATCATCATCAGTAATCTGTCAAGGCGACAGGTCCACAGTCTCTTCCAAAACAATTCCTCCATTTAATGCGAGCTAGAGCTTTCTCCTTCAAATGACAGTATCCTCTTCTGTCCCCAAGGTCATCCAGCATCTTCTTACGTCTTCTTCCTCGTCTTCTTGTCACTTCTATCCGCCCCTCTATCTTTCCTTCGATAACTTCTTTTAGAAGGCAGTTTCTGCGTAAAACCATATCTGATATATCATCAAAATTCGTCTAACGGTCTAGGAGTTGAAATAAGCGGGCGGATAGACATGGTCTGACGGACAGTCACGTGAAGAGCCATGACGTTTCCTGTGTGCATTCGTTTTCTGCACGTTGTGCACAACAACAACAAAAAAGAATGAGCCAAGTAATGGCAAAGTACTGCAATTTCAATTGAGGGCGGTTGGAGAAAACTGCATAATGAGGAGCTTCATAGCTTGTACTCTTCTCCAAATATAATTAGAATGATCAAGTCAAGGTGGACAAGATTGGCAGGGCATGTAGCACGAATGGGGGAGAAGAGGAATGCATATAGGATATTGGTGGGAAAGCCAGAAGGAAAGAGACCACTGAGAAGACCGAGACGTAGGTGGGTGAACAATATTAAAATGGATCTTAGAGAAGTAGTATGGGATGTTATGGATTGGCTTGATCTGGCTCGGGATAGGGACCAGTGGAGGACTCTTGTGACCAATTCGGGTTCCATAAAATATTGGGAAGTTCTTGAGTAGCTGCACAATTGGTAGCCTCTCAGAAGGGCTCAGCTCCATGAGTGACTGAATAATAAATTTAATTCCTATCAACTCTCAGCTGTTCGCAGGTTCTACACATCACGGGTACAATTAAGAAAGAAGACACGAAGACACCGACCTCTTTGGCACCGGAGTATCTTGCACAGAAAATGGCATGGTTACAGCAGCATAGCTCTCTCTGTACAACCTCCCTTTGTAACGTTTCTTTTGCACTAAAATTCCAGATGGGGATAATAAAAATGTCTGACCTTTGATCTTCAAGGGTTAATAATTCACTTCTGTGACAATATACATGCTCCGTTTGATCGAGAATTCAGACAAGACAATGGCCAGAGAGCAAACGTGTTATTGTTATCGGGTAAAACAGCATTCTTAAATCTTTCAAAAACATTTTATCGGCATTGTTTTTGGTATGTTTAATTCAAAGAGCTTAACATAAAAAAATACCGAACGACGTCACATATTCTCATGTTGGAAACTGTTCTAGAATATTCGTAACGCCCATAGATACAGACTATAAACTTGTCGTTGGAGGCCACCCAAACTGCCCATTGCAACAAACAGCGCTTTGTATATCTATGAAACACCTGGGCATTGTCTTAAGGCTTTAAATTTAATTGTTAGGATGTCATGTCTGCAAGTAGTACAGCTGGGACAGACGCTTGAGAAAGAGTCACGTTTTCTGACTAAAGAACAAATTAGATCAAGTTCCAGTTGGTACCAACATGGCCGCTTGAAGGCCCATGATCACCTTGGGTGGGAACAACGAGAATTGTATTGCCACGATTAAAAGCAGATCTTAGTTGCTGCAGTGGGCAGTCAGTGGACTCAGTCCCGCGACCTTGACGTGTTACGGGCAACTCCCTCTGCATCAAGGTTGCATTCTTCCTTCCCGTTATAATAAACAGCAGTTGCTTATTACGTACTGGGTCCCGAAGGGACGGTGGCTTCAGAACCATTCCCTGTTGGCTACGTACAAAAATGTTAGATTCGCTTATAACACATGGAGGTACTGTTTCGATTCTCAAAGGTGCGGTGTAACGTCACTGAACATTATTTTTCAGGACAAGAAGAAAAATAGTATACTTTTACACAGCGATGTGTTTAACTTTGTATTTATGTCAATGAATAGGAAGTACTGTGTTTTAGTAACATAAATAGGTTTCAACTTCATCCTTTTATTAAAAAGAATTTTGCGACGCACTTTTCTTACCTTGACCAGCTTGTGTCTTGATCCTATCTTACATAACTTTACAGAAAGAATGCAGTTTCCTCAACTGCAGAATACGAAGTCAAGTGTTGGATTTTTCAATTGACCTATTCCTTTCAGCCGCACTATGGCCCTGAGGTCGACTCAGCCTCTAACAGGAATGAGTACCAGGAATCTTCCTGGGGGGGGGAAAGGGCAGCCGGCGTATAAGGCTGACAACCTTACCGCCATTTGTGAGTAGATTGTCTAGGAAATATGGGAGCCTCGACTTCTCACAAAAGTATGGGCCTCCACAGCCTGTTATAGGGATAGCTTTACCTTTACATTAAAGAAAGTCTGCAAAGTCCAAAGGTACCACTCTCTTGTCGCAGCACGTATTGAATCAGAGACTCATAATTACACTCTGTAGTAATAAAAGGTTTGTCTTAACATGGACTCTCACAACCAATTAGCAATGCCGGTTTTAAACACTTTACGAGTTCTTGGCCTTCAACATCGTGCCTGTAGATCAGGAGTGGGCAATTATTTCTACTCGGGAGCCGGATGGGGCTTTTTCCAAATGACTGAGGGCAGAGCACCGTCACGACAAAAATATTTTGTAACCAAAACTTCATGGCATACGGATTATTCACACAGGCCCAATAATGGGTATACCAGAAGGCAAAATCGAGACATCATTAACAATTAATTTGAACATCTATAAACGCTGACTGGTGACCTTTGTGATGAGGACATAAATTAGGCCGAATATATATATTGGCTTCACTGGATTCTCTCATATCCGTTAGAATGCGCAGTTAACTGACTTAATGGATCAAGGTCTTTGTTGAGAGAATAATAGTCGTTGTAATAGTCAAGAAATTCTCCGATTTTACTGAACCTGAATGTCTGCTACCGCGCTCAAAAAAGCCCGCCGCTTGTTCCGGTCCTAATTTGAGACCCTGACTAACAATTTGTAGGAATTCAAGTAATAAGTGCGCTTATCCAAAGTTTGCATTTTCGCCAACTTCTACATCTCTTTGTTTATTTGTTTCTATTATAACTCTTCAATATCATTCACATCAGAAGATAAGAACCAACAGATGGTCAGATTGAAACATCGGCGTAGAGTAGCCTTTATCGCGGGTCAATTTCAGTTCACGTGCCACAAATTTACCACCCCTGCTGTTGAAGAAAAACAAAAATGAGGAGAACATCAATCTTCTCTTCCAAGAACTGCTGCCCATATTTCTGTTTGTCCCTAGTCATTTAAGGGGCACTGAACCGAACGGAGATCATATGTGTGGGGTCGATATACCCACATGTCAATAAGAGTATGCCCCTGTCCTTCAGCAGAACGCCATGAAAGTTAGAAATAAAGTGGAAGTAAAACTCCACGCATTCGTAACTCCTGTACTAGATGCACTTCTTTCTCTCTTCTTGGGAAAGAGATCCCGGTAGCTATGTGATAGAAGACTGCACAGACTTCAGAGCCGGCCTGGATGTGGCCACGAAGAGAAATATTCCTACCCTACCAGAAATATAATTCTGATATCCATCCGGTGATCAGTCACTTTACAGACTGTGCTATTCGGGTTCATAAATTTTTGCGTGCGTGTGGCCTTACGACCGCTGTAACAAAGCAACGGAGCAGTCTCAAGTTCTGATAGAGGAGACAGCTCCAGGTATAGAGAGTAGCTTGAATACTTTTACGTGGTAATACGCTGTCGCGGAGAGCTGAAAAGGGGTGGATGTCAGAGTTTGGAATTTGGCTGGAGACTAGCAGCTCATGAACATAAAAAGTACACAAAATGCTACACAAGCCCGAGGACTTGGCGGGTTCTTTTAAATATGGCACTGAACCTTCGGCTTCAGAAAAGGGGGGGGGGGTATTTCTTGACCAGCTGGACAACTGTCAGTTTCTTAAGACGAAATATACTCCGTGGAATTAGTTATTTGACGGTACTAGCAGAAACGGCTCAGTACGTTTGGTTGGTGAGCACAGGAAAAACTAGTTATATTTACTCCCGAAGAAGTAAATTTAAATTTAAGACGAAAGACCACCCGACCTCCAACAGCCTCTGCAACAACAAATAAAGCTGCAACAGCGAAGCGCACTCTATTTTTGAACTAAACGACTAACTTACTGATTTATCTCTCTCAACTCGTCCGCTGTTTGCAGCCCGTTTCACATGATAACATTCAGCAGTTTGCTATGGAAAGTTGCAAGTTGCGCCTCTTGTCTCCATAATGTCCCCATGTCCGTCAGTCTGTCGACATGTAACAACTCAACAGTTTCTTAATGGAGTTTCATGAAATTTAACGTTGAGGAGTTTTGCTGAAACATGTACACATTTTCCAAAGCTGGTTAAGAACATA